ACTAATATCATCTCTCCCTTTTTTTTTAAATCTGGAAGGAGATTGGTATTTTTTATTGCTTTGGAAACGTCCTGTTCTTTTAAATTGCCTCCAGAACTACCATTAACTGTCCAGAGAGGCCATTTGGTGCTGCTAAAGTGATGCATAGACTAATGAAGACATTAAAAATGGGGAATTTTTTTTTAATTCTCAAATTTTAGAATTTTTCTGTTCCATCTGCAGTCAGTAGGTACTTTCTCTTCCTTCACAGAATCAAAAAGGACTGCATGAATAACTATGAAGGAGAGGAGGCTGACATCTCCCTGTCTGTCTGACCATTAACAGGACTCCCTGATCAAGCAGGAGTACCGATTGAACTAGATGGTTTTGATGAGCTTCAGCAGTAATTGACAAATTAAGTACAATAAGATTTAATATAGAGTAACAATAAAATAACCACAACACTGAAAACTACTGCTAAATATAAAAACTATAAATTTGAAGTCAACTGCAATTTACAGAACAGAGCACAATGAAGTAAGACAGTAAAGAATTTTAGTAGAGCTATGAGAGAGTAGCAATATTATTCACAAGCGTCTCCAGGAGCATGACTCACACAGTCTACAAGAACTACATTGTCATGAATTCCCATAAATTACTAAATTTGTATTGTTTAAAGATGAAAAATAAAGCTTTCCAAAGTTATGTTGGTAAATGTAGATGTATTTCACAACATTGCTAGCTATATGTACAATGTTCCCAAAGATTTAAAGAACCCCAAAGTCTAGGAAACAAATAAAGATGGAAAACCTGCTTCTGTAATTTACTGCAGAAATAAACTACAATAGGGTCAGAGTCATTATTCTTCATCACAACTGCAACCATATGAAAACTGTATTCACTTACTTACTAATGCATTCCTTGAATGTAAATTTTTTGTTGTTGCAGCATGGTTACATTTAGCTTGCTTTCATTTAGCTTCAGAAAAACAAAAGAAAACTGGTGTTTTATATTTATGTGCCACACTTCTATGAGGAAAAGTTCTTATCATAATAAAGGAATTTATATATATTTACATCTGTAATTTTTGAAAAATGTGTCTATGCATACACACATACATTAAGCCTGTGAACTTTCTGAATGTCTTCTCTCTTTCACTGCCTGTGTCCCAGACCATCGTGTTTCTCCTGTTGCAGTAAGGAAGGATAATCTAAGAGTAACAGAGCCTGGCTATCCTGGGAGATCCCAGCTCTATTCCTTCTCCATCTACAGCTCCCCCAAGTGTTTGGGCAAGTACAATGGCCTTTCTTGTTTTGCCTGCTCTACCTGACTATTCCAAGCCTGCTCCCTAACCTAGACTCACCACCTACCAATGCTCCAGACACAGACACCTTAGTAGGGTATACTGTCCCTCACATGGTCTGAATGAAGAAGGTCATCTTGAAAATGCCTCTGCCACCCACATACACTTTTGCCGTCCAAAGAACAATATAAACATTTGAAGCATAAAGAAAAGCCAGATTCCCATGGAGAAAAAGATAGGAAAAGATAGAAAATAATAGCTATGGATCTACAAATGTTTACCTGCACTGTAGCCTCCTTTGGAAACTGCAAGGAATCCTTCCTAGAATAGTGTAAGAAGTTCAGACACTTGAGCAGTAATGACCCTATCTGTGTACCTAAGCTGGCTAATATCTATGTCCTAACTTTTCAAACTTATTTGAATATAAAAAGTGTTGCTCTTTCAGAATTTAGGCGTCAAAGCTATTGTGCATACACTTAGTTTCAACAGACATGGAAAAAGCCTCTGAAAACACAGACTACAATTCAATGTGTTTCTAATGGATGAGTAACCTATTTACACTATGGAGAATATGTTGAAGGTGGTCAGAGGACCAGCCATGGTTTCTGGTAAAGCAGCTATGCCAACTTGCAACTGCCTTTGTTTGTTTCAGGTCCTTCTCTTTCATCTCCTTTATTTTCACTTCTTCTATTTGCCCACTAATCTTTCCCTCAAGGTCTTGACTGTCCCATGAGTTGCATTTCTTTTTCTTCCCATATCTTTTATCTTTATCTGCTGATTTATATAACTGGTTTATACAACAGATTGCTCCACTTGCTTTTCAGTGATCAAGTGTAATCTCTGAAGCAATGGGAGACCAAAAATCCCTGTAAACTCTGTGCATTAAAAAAAAAAAAAGCTCCCTTCATTGCATATACTTACAAGGTGAAAAATAGAATAACATATAGCCCTACAATAGACAAAGCTAAAAGTTGAATAGTAATACCCTCTCAAAAAGGGCCCATTAATGAAATGAAAACCAAAGACTTGAATACACTGAGGGGCAGTAGAACTACTTAATGTGAATATGAAAAATATGAAGTGTTGTAAAAGCAAAGCAGCAAGAGGCCTAGCAGGCAAAATACAAGTGGTAGGATTGATACTAAAATAGGTGTTGGAATAACTGCAAGAAGACAAGAAGAGCTTAAGGGACACAGGACTAAGTGGTAAATTAATATATACAAATTTCCCTACTTAAGGGAACAAGAAATCCCTTTCCAATACTGGATGAAAATAAGCCCTTTTGACTCGGTGTTTTGTAAAGATCTTTTTCACCCTTAGAGAAATGCAAACAGGGAAATTTAAACCTAAAACATTGCTCAGCCTAAGAGAATTGAGTTCTGGATGAATGGATGGATAGGTACAGATAATGTATTATTCAGAATATTATCAACTTGATTTTTTGCTAAGGAGGAAATAAATACTTTTGGTTGAGCTGGAATGCTGATGTATTTGCTGAGACTGTTTCTGACTTAGAAATAAATCAAGTGAAATAATTTGGCCATGGTAAATATGCTAATAACTGTCTGTACAAATTTGATAAAATTCTTCTATGCTGCCAGTGTTTTAATTTATTAACTAATGTGACTATGATGACCGGAAAATGAGTATGTGAACTAGGTAAACAAGAGGTGTAGAAAACATGCTCAAGGAGGTGGCTCTTCAGAGTACTTTCCTCAGGGATGCTTCCAGATGCTGCACTACACTGCTTTTGCCAGGCTGTGCAAGAGTAAATAGCAGATTTAACAACAGAAATATTCACTGCACTTCTTGATTTCCTTCTAAGAAGGCTTATGATTTTCAGTAATTGTTTCAATGTTACTAAGACACAAACCTAGCACAAAAAGCAAACTTTGTGTTTGATACAGGGCTCCTGGGACAGAGCAATTCAGGGCATTTCATCTTTGTTCCTGGAGATAAAATTTAGCCCAGAGTGACTTTATGCAAACTGGTGCAGACAAAAGGTATGCCTTGTTTATCTGAACCAACCTTACCCTGGCTAGCCTGACTGCCAAGGGCAGGGTAATAAGTTCAAAAATCCTGCCTGGATCTCACTGTGAACACTTGGGCTGTTGGCCTTTGTTGGCATTGGCTCTGTGACAGTTGCATCATTGGAGCAGTACCTGAGCTAATTTCAGGTTAAATGGACTGCATTTAATATTTTTCACTACACAGTAGTCAAGATATAAATATTCACTATGAAAAAACTTGCAAGTATTAAAAAAGTCATCTGATATATTTGACTTAACTCCTGTTTAGTGATGCCAGGTGTAATCCATAATACTATTTTTTTACTGATACACAGAGCAAGAATTATTTATGTAAACTCTTGAAGTGTGCAAATAGTTTTAAATCATCAGTGCTTTTTAGAATTCATATATTTGTAGTAAACCATGGACAGCAGAGAAAGACTGCAAAAATTCATTTAATACATTACTCATTGAGGATTATTTGACCTTCTACTTCCGAATATGAATAAAGAAATAAACAGGTTTTCATTAACAACATGAAACAAAACAGGGTACAGAGGTGAACTATTTCTGTTTGCAAGCATATTTCTGTCATAAAATATCACCTCATTTGTAATTAATCTGTAATATAATTTCAATTGGAAGTCTATATCTGCGTGCATAGCACAACACACAGATCTATCTTCAATAAACATCAGTAAAGTCCTAGTTGCAGTTACACTGCATGTACAGTTTTGTTCGATGACAAGCAGTAAGGTACAAAGTCTGGCTGAGATGCAGATGGCAAAGCTTGATTACAGATTTAACTTCTATTTCTTTCCTTCCTTTTCTTTTTTACTCTACGTATTACAAATCTCTGACTAATAGGAATTACAGTGGTAGCCTTACCTTTTAGGCTTGGCAGAATATTTAAGCAACAAACACTACAAATGGCATTTTAGCAGGAGATTTTGCTTTTGTTGCGAGACAGGATTTAATAAAGAACTAATAATGTGCTTTCTCATTCCAAAAATCATGCCTTTGATCATGACTGTCTATTACTTCTGATGCATTTTCCCTGGTCTTAGCCTTCGAAATCTGTCTATCTGTTACTCTACCAAGATATCATTAAGGTCTTTGAAAATGGTGTCCTCTTTGCCATTCTTCTTTATCAATTTCCACCTTCTCTCTTTTCTGTCTACACATCTCTCATATGCTGAGATTTCTGGAATTTACTTTAATAATTTCTCTATGGTGGAAACTTCTTGAATCTCTCATACATATGTGTGTTCCCATGAACAACTAAATACAGTAATCACAGAATGGTTTGGGTTGGAAGGCATCTTAAAGATCAACAAGTTCCAACTACCCTGCCATGGGCAGGGACATCTCCCTCTAAACCAGGTTGGTTAAAGGCCTATCCAATGTATAAATTAAAGGGATAAAAAAAAAGATGACCTGATGGAGTCATATGTATTGTTAAATGGTTTAGATAGTTCAAATAACCCAGGAATACTGAAATTGCAAAGAACAAAATCAATGTATAGATTGGAAGATCTCTAACTATAAGGATAAGGACTGTTAATGAATGGGTGGCTTGAACTATTGCTAACAAAGAAAAGGTCATGCTAATACAGGTCATAAACCTGCTATAGAGTTTGTTGTGCTGCCTGTCATGTTTTCCTTCGTGTAGTCTAATGGGCATGATGTCACAAATTTGTGTTGACAGCGGAAAATAGAGTTGAGAACCATCAGAAGTGGACGGACAGAGGACTTAGGAAATAGAAACATATGGTTGATTTTCTTGCTCTGAAAATACCATCAAGGTAAACTGTGGTGCTGCTATGCTGCCACTTTTTCTTGTTTGCAGATATAAGATGTAAAGATGATTGTTCTGAATTCACAGTAGGCTGCCTGCATGAGACAGGCTGCAATGTCCTATCAGTTATCACAGTATAATTATGTCTTGTAAAAACAGATAAGTAAAATGTCTACTTTAAACAGCTCTTAAAAAGTCATATAAAACCCCTCAATAGTAACTGAGGGACAGGCACCTAAGAAATACAATTATATCCAGGAAACTTTACATAAAACATGATCAAAACTAAATGAAACAGATATAACTATGAAAAGTACATTCAATGCATAGTTTCACCACCTCATGCTGGAAAATTTCTGAAATTAAAAGTTTTTAAAATCTAATTCACACCTGTCAAATTTCAAGGACCTTCCAAAGCTGTAAGGAAAGCCCCAAAATGAAATTAATGAAACTTCTATGTGAAATTCAACATAAACTAGAATATGAACTTAGTTTTATTTTAACTTCTAATTAATGTATTTCTCCATTTCTCTTCCTTTCTGATAGCTGAGGCTATTCTCTGACTCCTATTTCCATCATTCTTGCTCCATTAAATAACTGTCTTTCAGCATTGTTCATTCACTTAGAGCTGAGGACTTAAAGCTGAAAAAACTTTATATTAAGAAAATAGAATCAGTCTTCAGTACTTCTGACTCTTGCTTTACAAAGAGCATGTTCCTTGGCCGCGCTTAAACCTTCCTGGAGGTCTTCAAAGAGCCTTGCAGCTGTTATTTTTCAAAATGTAAAAAAAACCAAAAAGTGACATCCTGAATAGCCAAGCTACAAGCATGTTTACTGTATTATGAGGACCACATCTCAGCTGCGAGGATTTGTCTGAGATTTACTAGGTTGCAGTTCTTGGTTTTTTTCTTTTCTTAGAATACTTCATTGCTATGAGGGCTTAAACAACAAGGGAGCTGCAGCCCCACAGCTTTATTTACATAAAGTGATATAGAGGAGTAAGATCTTGAGTTTGCTTCTCATTTTGGAAATTAGGATGCTTCGTTCTTTCCTCTGTACCTTCTCAGCATTGCACAACTGTTTGACTGATCACAAGAGGACTAGTTATGCACTGGCTTGTCTCCGTGGCCACAGGAAAAGAGGAAGGAATAAGCAGTCTTCCCCTGTAGCATATGGGTCAGATAGACTCATAACCCAGATGCCTGGGGGAACTCAAGCACCGCATCTAATTGCTCTTCTGGAAAGCCACAGTGGTTGACAAGAGAGGGTTCAGCCAGAGGCGTGATGCAGCAGCCTTTGTAACAAGTTCCCTGTAACTGTGCATGCCAAGTATCAGAGTACATCCAATTCATGCCATGAAGACTCTTCCAAATACAAGTCTATGCCTTGGGGGCATGATCTAGCTCTATATATTTATTTCTTTATAGCTATATTATCAACATGCAAGTTTCCTTATCCTGACTGGTCACTCTAATTCAGCCCTGAATGGCTCTTGTGCTCTGAGTTCTCATGTGAACAGATACCTGGAAAATGCAAACTAAGCTTAGAGAAAGAGTCAAAAGAAGGTAAAATTAAACCCTTTTCCAAGAGCCTCCATGAAGTGACTTGAATACAGAGACATTCATCATCTTCCACAAAGAGAGAGAGAGGGAGCGCTTGCCTAGTGCAGTACAATCTCACGCGGATTGCCCCAAGCTAGCCCTAGGCTAGCAATGTATCTACATAGTAAGAAATACTGTGAACCCAAAATCAGCCTTGTCAGAGTGATGCTCAGGCTTATAAGCACAGCCAGTTTGTGAAGCTAGTTTGCTAAATTCCTGTACTGTGGCTTGACTGCTTCTGGTACTGAGACTGGCCTGTTCAGAATGGGTAAGTGATGAATCTGACTTTATTTCACGGTATAAACTCCCCCTTGTCATTCACACCTAGTTTTGATGAGGAGTCATATTGCCTGAACGCTATCCATTTATTTCAAATACTACCAAGACCTCTTGATGATGATAAGAAGGAAATTAATAATCAGTGCATCTCTATGCTTCAGGATTTGGAGGAGGAGAGAAATTAGCAAGCAAGCTGTAAACAGTTTAGCTTAAGTATCAGAAAGAGGCTTGTCAAGCACTGCAGATCACTGCATGGGCTCACTTAGAGGTCAGGTGCCCTGCAGTCTGTAGAGCAAAGGCAAATGAGGTTCACGCACATGAGCTACTTGGCCTCCCTCAGCGTGTCTCTGTACTCTCCAGTTGAGGTAATGCCCCAAGGATGAAAATCCTGAGAGCAGTAAGCCACCCAGCACTGCCTCTCCACCATGAGAACTGCATACACAAATCACAACCTACTCTTAAAATCTCTGCCAGTTTGTTCCCACTGAGGATCTGGGAAGGTAAATATATTGTAGTGGATTAAGGAGATGGGGATTAAATGACCATAAACTCACAGCATCCTGTTTCATGCCACAGTTAGTGAAGCATTCATTGATCTTGGTATTTTTTCTTAACATGTAGAATATAATCAGTTTTCTGTGTTGTGATAGGATAGGAAATACCAGTCTCTGAGAGCAACAGCTTGTAATGGCCTGGTTTTGATCTCATTTTTGATCGTCTTTTCTTTTTCTATCCTCTCGTACAAACTTGACCTGGAAAAAAGTATGAACTCTTCTATAACACAGACATCTGATACCATCATTCACTTTTAAAAATTTCTGCCTTGAAGAATTCTAATTTCTTTGTAGAGTAAGTGCAGTTTGTCCATGATTTTTACTGTACAGATTCTGTATGCATTAGTTTAGGATTAAATCCACAAAGGAGCCTACATCCCAGCTGACTCTTCATTCTGCATGTTATACTGATCCCCTCTTATGCAAAATCTCAATGTTTAGCAAACACATTGAGGTTTGGTTCTTCATGGCCTCTGGTTGCAGTGTTATTTAGCCTGCAGGTTATAGCTCACCCTCAAGCTGCAGTATGAAATGGTGTCTAACAGTACATCCTGCTGCATTATTTCACTCCTCATGACATGGTGAAATTGTGCCAAGGACAGTCTCTGAGCTCCACTCTTCACAGCTGTAAAAGTCTGTGCTGGTTTAAAGGTAAACCAGCAGGGGAAATGAACTCAACTCAAAAGAGATTATAAATCAGAATAACAATTTAATAAAATAATACAATAAGTACCATTATTCAGACAAACAATTGGTTTTAACCCACAAAACCCAAATATATAACCCAGCACCTTGGGGCATGAACAGAGTGGTGTTCTTTGGGCCCCCTGAGTCCAAAGGAAAAAGTGAGGGGAAAACCTGTTGGTGAGAGTGCTGTTGCAGTCTGGTCAAAAGTGGTGATTGCAGTCCAGTTGAGGGGGGTGGTCTCAGTCTGGTTGAGAGCAGTGAGCTGCAGTCTTCCTCTGGATCCCACGAGTGGTAAAAAAGGTTCCAAAACTCCAAGTTTATGTATTCTCTAGTTCAGGCAGGAATGCTCAGTCCTTCCCTCAGAGTGGGGTATTCCATAAAAGGGTGTGAGGACAGGAACATATTCCTATCTTGCAGGCCTCTTAATGCCTAGTTT